TGACTCTGCCTGGTGCCAAGGATGCTGGGGCCTCCAGCTCATCTTTGGAATACATTGCACTTGTTGCTAATTAAATCAATCACCTTTATAAAAGCACCAGGAAGGGAGGTTTGGGGAGTTCCTGGGAGACAGCAGCAGCAGCCAGTGGGGTCCCAACTGCTGTGCTGCCAGCACGCCTCTGTTCTGCCCTGTGCCCTTCCCCAGGGTGTGAGGGATGTTGGGTCTTTGGCTCCTCTGCTGGGGTTGCCAAACCGAGTGTTAACTGGTGGCTTTTGGCTCCTGCTCCCTGTAACCTGGACAGAGCAGGGTGTGGCCCTGAAAGCCTTCCTGTGCTTGGATAAAGCAGAGCTGGGGTGGGTATGAAGCAGTGCTTTGGACCCTGGCAGGGTGCTCTGAGACCTAGAATGTTCTTCAGTGAAAGCAGAGGCTGTGTGTGTGATCCCCTCGGCCTCCCTGGGGTGACAGACACCTTCTCCAGCTGCACTGGCAGAGCACAGTGACAAACTGCTGCAGATCCCAGTGCTCGCCTAAGGAGACTTTGTGTAACGAGCAGTGACAGTCCCCTGCTAGCCCCCAGCAACCTGCTCCCATCCCTGCCCGACAGCAGCAGAGGGTGCCTGGTGTTGTCCTCCTGTGATGCTTGCCTGGTGTCTCCATGTGGTGGCTGTCTTCACCCTGTGTGCCCAACGTGTTTCCTTCAGTGCTGTTGGATTTGAAAGGTTTTCATTTGGATTCATCTCCTTTAATGACCTGTCTTCCTTTTAAATCTCACACCTCAGGTTCTACGCAGCAGAAATAGCCATCGGCCTCTTCTTCCTGCAGAGCAAAGGCATCATTTACAGGTAGGTGAGCGAGTTCCCCCTTCCCCAAGGCCCCCAGCCGTGGGCAGAGCCCCACGAGGGCCGGGGTGCCCCACAGCTCCCACCTGCTCTGTGACTCTGCCCGGGGCTGTGCCTGCTGCCGGGGCCACGGGCAGGGTCTGGCAGCTACCCATGGAGCACACACCCCCCAGATGGAGCCAGGAGCCTCCTGCTGTCTCTGGGTGTGGGTGAGGTGCTTGTCTTCACCCCCAGTTTGCAGGCAGGCAGCACGGGTTCCTCTCGTGCCTTGGTCTCATGCGTTTCTCTCCATACAACACCAATGCTCTTGGCAGCACCGAGCAGTTCTGAGCCACGTGTTTTGCTGCAGGGCACTATTTTCTTACTGTTAACACTAGAGTAAGTGCTTATGATTGGCTTCTTCTGAGATCTGCAGTGCAAGTCTGTCACTTCTGGTTCAGACGCTGAAATTTGGTTTCCACTCAGGAGGTGCTGTTGGTGTGCAGAGGCAGCCAGGGCACTGCTGGGCCGGGCTCAGAGCCTGCTGGTGAAGCACTAACACCAGTGTGCTGCTGCTCTTCCCTGCTTGGGAGAATTCCCAGAGCCCAGGGTAGAGCAGAGCATCCTAATGAGTGTCAGATACCATTAACTGCTCTGCAAAAAGAAATGCCAGCTGTGCCACTGAAGTTATGAGATGCTGTGAAGACTGTTCTGGAGATGAAAGAAGTGGAGCAAACCTGACGTGATTTTGCCATCAGCTGCTACAGAGAGATTCTAGGTCTTTCAGTCCCCAGTGCCCCTTCCTCCTTCCTTCCTCCGAATCCAAATCCAGGCTCGTGTCCATCTGCCTTTGGCCCATCAGAGTTCAAAGCACTGACACAATAGCTGGAAAAAACAGTCTTAAAAAACAGCAAGAAGTTGTAAATTCTGCATCCTGGGCTCTTCGTTAGCACACTGGAGGCTTGTGTGCTGTGCAGCCCCACAGCTCTGCTGAGCAGCTGCTCCCAGTGGGGTGCTGCAGCTGGGGTCCCTAAGAAGAGGGCTCACACATCACAGTGTGCCCATCGTCCCCTGGGCAAGGGGAAGGAAACGTCACCCTCAGGCAAGGGAAATCTTGCAGGCATGTTCTGCTGCTGCAATGGGGAACGGGGTGGTGCTGTGCTGTGCAGACTGAGCCAGGATGGGCACAGCTCTCAGAACTGCCTGGTAACTATGGGGCTGGTAATGTCTAAATGGCACCTGAAATACTGAGTGTTGCTGCAGAACTGTCCTTCAGGCTGGAGCAGCCACCTCTGGGGAGGCCAGTCAGGGCCAGGAGTCGGGTCAGGAGCTCCAGAGCCAAAACTGGCTCCACAATTTGTGCTAAAGAGCAAAGCTCCTGCAGGGCTGCATATAACTATGTGCATGAGGATCAGAGAGAACCACGATTGATTTGGATTTTCCTGGGGGAGCTCAGCACAGGTGGTGCAGGGACTTGTGCTGAGCAGGCACTTCTTCATTGCTGGTGAGCTTTGATTTTCATAGGTGCAAAAAATGACCTATTAAACCTGTCTCCCTGCTAGATGAGTGTTTTCTGTCACGCACTTAAAAGCAGTTTGCCCAGTGTGGCATTCCT